AAAAAAAAAAAAAAAAAAAAGAACAACAACAAGAAGCAAATACATCCTTTTCTTAAATATAATCAAATTTTAACTATCTCTCTTTTAATATGTATAACCTTTTAATTGTATTATTTTTTTTAAATATTGATTACAAAGATAATTTAAAAATATTATAAAATTAATAAAATTTAATATAAATAATTAATTTTGATAAATAAAAAAAGAATATTATTTTTTAATAAAATATATAAAATAAAAAGCTAAATTATACATTTAATTTTCTAATTTTTTCGATCTATGCAATTTTTGTTCTCTCTATCATTTGACTTTTAATTGACCACTAATTATTAACTTGACATTAATGTAAACATATTACTTTTATGATAATATAACGATTTACGTGGATTGATAAAGTGACATGATGACATAAATGCACAACTAAAACTAATATAAAAATAAAGTATTAAGACTTTTAAAAATAATAAAAGGTGATCTTACAAAAATTAGAATCAATACTTTATTGATATTATTATATTATTTAAAGCACCAAATCACTTAACATGCTTTTTAACACTATTATATATAATATTATTGCTTAAATCAACTACTATATTAAATTCCTTATCTAATGTTAATTTAGTTTAAAAATAAAATTAAAATTTTATTTAATAAAAATATATGTTATATCATGAAATAAAATTCAAAGTTTTTAACTTCAAAATGTAAATAAATCATTATGGGAGTTTATTTTACAAATTAAATATCATTTTTCAGGATTGTGAAGATGAGAATGTAATATTCTCATATTTGTTATGAGCTTTGAAAAATTATTTTCAGGTATTGTTCATTCTCAAAAATGTTTTCCTACCATATTCTTGCTTTTTTATTCGTTGAAGGTGTGGGAATGTGATATTCCTATGGCAATATTAAAAGTTACATTTTAAGTATTCTTTACACGTACATTTGCAGTTTTCTCTTTTAATTATTTTTTATTTAATTTATTTTAAATTTTGAAAATATTTCAAGAAATGTTAGAATATAACCAAACACATTTTCTAAAGATACTTGGAAATAACATTCTAGTCAAAATATTCTCAAGAATATGATTATTAAGAATGTAATATGACACCCCAAAACAAATGCTCTTATATATAAAATGTAATGAGATGTCATGGCTAGACAATATATCTACTAAAACAACTTATATATAAAATGTAATGAGATGTCATGGCTAGACAATATATCTACTAAAACAAGGCATGGAGGAGAGAGTAAACCGCTCGGCCCTTTCAAAATGGCTAAGCGGTATGAAAGATTCTTCAAGGTGAAACAACTTCAAGGGTTAAGCCATTTTGAATCCACTAAGCCCTTGGGAGTCGGATTTTTCATCCTCTCTAGATCCAAATTATACAGTCCTTTCCAAAAGGCTGAGTAATTTTAAGTTTGTTTTGAGGCCTTTAATCTTCTTTTATACCTATAAGACATAAACCCAAAATTTTATAAATAAATCTTCATCAACTCTTTACAAACTACTAATTGCCACAACCTTTTCATTCTTCTAAGTTTGTAGGAGTTAAATAAAAAGAAACATTTTAATCCAAGCTAGATAAGTGTCAAAATGATCAAACATTTTAGGAAAAATAGACACTTATCACTCACCCAACTGATTTTAGCAACTACTAACTTGAATCCAAAAACAACACAATATTAGTAAGGATCAAGAAGGAAAGAGAAAAAGATTCGGAGTTGAAGTAAACTCATGGACCAGAGCACCTCTTTCTAGAATCCACTTTCTATAATTCTTAGAATTTGAGTTTATGAAGCTTTATTTTAAATAGAAACCTTATATACTCTTTCTCTTGGGATCAAACTGACCCTCTATCCAAAGAAACTTCTAATACTACCGAAATTCCTAAGGAATGCTCAAATCCTAGAGTCTCTTACACTGAACAACAATTCAACTTAACTACACAAAAATAACTTAAAATAATTATAACACTCTATGATTTATAGTGTTGCATAAAATACGAATAATTATATTGTATGAGAGTTTTTAGAAATTTTTCTTCAACGAAAGAATTTTTAAGATTTCTTTCAATTTCATGTTTAATTAAAATTTTATTTATTATAATTATGAATAATAATAATAATAATAATAATAATAATAATAATAATCTTGTACAACAATATAAATTATTTATCATAAATCTAAAATAATTAATATATTTAAAATATTTTTTATTCAAATTTTAATATAATTTATATATTTAAATATATTCTTTATATATATATATATAATTTATATACATACTTTATTAAAATTTTTGTTTATATACATTTAACATGTGCAATATACTGGTATGCATGCTAAAATACTAATAAGCTTTAAATATAATATTTAATAAGAATTAAGTATAATATTATTTTCTTTTTATATATTTGTCTTTCCCTTTTCATTATGTAAAAAAATTATGGGTATTACGTGATATATAATTAAAATTTATAATATATATATATATATTATATTTGAATACATAATTTTTTTAAAATAATATATAAAGTATTTTAAAATTTATATAAATAAATATTTTTAAACACATAGATTAAATATTAAATTTAAATTAAATAATTTATATTGTAGTATAAAATTAACTCTAATTATTAGTAATTTATTTTTAAAATATTAAAATTTAA